CCTGGATAATTCTGTAAAGCCCAGCTTTAATCTGAGGGGAAGCAAAGCCAGGAGATAACCCTGCCCTCACCTGGAGTGACTTCACCACGGTGCTGTTCTCCATGTGGGGAAAGTCCTCAAACATCCACCTTGGCAAGAGGGACAGGAGGGCGGCCTTGACCCTTCGCAAAAGGGAAAAACAAACCCCAAATGTTACTGCAGTGTGTAATTCAGATGTTCCTCATGCAGGATGAAACTCTCTGGGTGGGAAGGACACATGAAGAACACCCAGCCTTGGAAACTCTGGGTTCCCCATTCTTAAATTTCATCAATTTCATGTTTATTTGACTTTTTTTTTTTGTTGCTCTCTGCCTTAGTGTAGAGCACCAAAAAGTCCTTTCATATGATAAATGTGTGATATTGCCCTCAGGCTGAGGTGAAAGGGAATCTGTAGTTGATTTTAACACATCCCAGAAGAAATTTTGTATTTCTTCTATCTACAAAAAAAAAAAAAAAAAGAAAAACCCCACAAAACCCCCCAAAAATTCCCCCAAAACCCCAAACACCCTCCCCCAAAAAAGGGGTAAAAAATTCTGAATTGGGAATAAGGGAAGAAGACATGGAGGAGAAAGGAATACCTTTTCCTGACTGACTTTTTAAACATCACAACTGCAAAAAGAACGGATAATCCGACCACGCTGAGGCTCAGTCCCAGGAGAATTTGGATGTCATCATCTGCAGGGGATGGAAGGGAGGAGGTCACGGCCTGGTGCTGCACTCATCATTCACCATTCACCATTTCCTGCCCCAGAAATGCTGACGTGAATTCCTCAGCCGGGCTGGTTTTGCTTTTGGTTTAGGAGCTGAAACAGACCGTGACCTTTACCAGAGGATGTGCAAGCTGAGCATCCCCAGACGGGTGGGAAATGCTGAAACACGTCCCTGGTCCCAGCTGCAGGGTGGAATCAGCCTCCTGCATGGGTTAATTCGATATTTCCTGGGTTTGACACCTCCCCTTGGACTGGGCATTGTGTTTTAGCCTCGGTAGAGAGCAGAACTCAAAGCTTGCATTCTGTGGGTGCTGCTCATCCTTCCCTGCACTTGGGGAAAATCTCCTTTATTGGCTCTTGTGGGAACCCAGGAAATCCCTCTGGCTGCCCTAGAGGGCTTGAGACCTTGCCCAGGGGGCTCAGAGACCTCAGCACAGAGCCCAAGGCCCTGTGCCTTTGGTCTTGACCCACAGAAAAACAATTACCAACCTTGTATGAAGAATTACAATTCAAAAGAGTTTAAGTAGAATAATAGTTTGTCACAGAGTGAAAAAGAGATTTTTTTGGGTGTTTTTAGAATGGGTGTCCAAGGGGTAAGATGGAGGAATCTGTGTCCAGCCTTTCTCCTTCTTCTTCTTGGCCTCCATCTCCCGCTGTGATGGCGGCACTTTGGGATTGGTTTAGAGTAGAAGCTCACTGACACAGGTGATGGGTATTGGGAAGTTATGGTAAATATTGTACAGGTAGTTTTTAGTATAAAAAGATAACACTGCCCTGGTGGCAGGCAGAGTGCCTCTGTCTGTCCTGCTGAACAGACCTTGGCTGGACAGGAGAAAGAATTTTATAGATAAGGAACAATAAACAACCTTGAGAATGAGAACCCAGAGCATCTGGGAGCTCTCAATTCCCGCTGCCAGGAGCTGCCTGGGTTAAATCTCCCACAGCACAAAGCCTGGCCTGGCAAGGCAGAGCTCTCACAGGAGAAAGCCTGGCCCGGCAAGGCAGAGCTCCCACAGGACAAAGCCTGGCCTGGCAAGGCAGAGCTCCCACAGGACAAAGCCTGGCCCAGCAAGGCAGAACTCTCACAGGACAAATCCTGGCCTAGAAAGGCAGAACTGCCCAGAGCACAAAGCCTGGCCCAGTAAGGCAGAGCTCCCACAGGACAAAGCCTGGCCCAGCAAGGCAGAGCTCTCACAGGACAAAGCCTGGCCTAGCAAGGCAGAGCTCCCACAGGAGAAAGCCTGGCCCAGCAAGGCAGAGCT